TGTTTGCATAAATTTGTTCTGAATTTACCCCCTTCATTCACAAGCCGTGTCCTCTGATTCTACTATTCTGGACAAGCTGAAACAGCCTGTCATGACCTATATCGTCTTGCCCCTTTAGAATCTTAAAGACAGCAATCATGTTGCCTCTAAATTTTCTCTTTTCCAGCGTGAACATGCCCAATTTACTTAGTTGCTCCTCATAGTCCATTCATTCCATTCCCTCAATCATTTCAGTTGCCCTCCTGTGTATCTTCTCGATTTCTCCAATATCCTTTTTGTACTGCGGTGACCAGAACTGTACACAGTACTCTAAATATGGTCTCATCAATGATTTATACAGTGGCAGGATTACCCCACTATTTCGGCTTGTTATTGATCTTTTGATACATCCCAAATCTAGTTTGCTTTACTCACTGACTTGGAGCATTGTTGGCAGACCTTCAATTTCATGTCAATCAGGACCACAGGTCCTTTTCATTTTCCATACATATTATTTTCCTTCGTTCAAATAATACTCCTTTCCAGGATTTTTTGTCCCTATGTGAGGTACTTTATATTTCTTCACATTGAATTTCATCTGCCAAGTATGTTCAAATCCTCCTGTAACCTATCTTGTTCAGATTCGCAATCTACCACCTTCATTAGCTTGGTGTCATCTGCAAATTTAGCCACTGTGCTTGCGACTCCTAGTTTTAGATCATTTATAAAAATATTAAACAAAAGAGGTCCCAAAACAGACCCTTGCGGAACTCCACTGGTAACATTTTCCCAGTCTGATGACATTCCCTGTACCACCACCCTTTGGGTTCTTCCGGTCAACCAATTGCGTATCCATTGTAATATACCTTGACTGATTCCTACTTTTTTTTTTACTTTCAGTACCAACCTCTCAAAGGAACTGCATCAAAGGCCTCACTGAAATCCAGATACACAACATACACAGCCTTACCCTTATAAAGCTCCCTTGTCACACCATCAAAGAAAACCAGTAAATTAGATTGGCAAAACCTTCCCTTCATGAACCCATATGGGCTATCATTTATGATTTTATTTCCGTCCAGATGCTCCATGATTTTATCCTCATTAAGAGTCTCCATAACTTTACCCACAATGGACGTCAAACTTACTGGTCTGTAGTTTCCTGGGTCACTTTTGTTACCTTTCTTAAAAATAGGTGTAACATCTGCCTTTCTCCAGTCCCCCGGCACTTCTTCAGTATTCAGTGATTTTTTAAAGATTTGTGCCAGCGTTTCTGCGACTTCCTCCCTTAGTTCCTTAAGGATCCGCGGATGTAATTTATCCAGCCCTTGAGATTTATTTACCTTAAGTTTACACAGCTGTTTGGCAACCATGCTGATAGTGTTATGAATAGTGTCGCAACTTTTCTCTGCAACATCCTTGAGTTCTCTTTCCAGATCAGAGAGGTTACCCGTCTCCTCTTTGATAAAGACTGATGCAAAAACCGTATTTAGCACTATTGCAGCCTGTGCAGCATTATTTGTCATGTTGTCTCCCGAACCCACATTCAATGGCTCTATTCCATTACTTGGTTTTCGTCTACTCATAATGTAACTAAAAAACATTTTATTATCCTTCGCATCTCTTGCCATGTTCAATTCAAAGCTTTCTTTGACATTCTGATGTCTTTTTTGCAATCCTGGCATGCCTTCCGGTATTGAGTCCGAATTATTTCCGTGCCATTTTCCTTCATGGCCTTAAATGTTTTTTTTCCTCTTTATGATTTGTTTTGTACACCATCCAACCTGGCAGGAGTGCCTTTAAGCTTGGTACCTTTGCTTCGCATGGGTACACATTGTTTCATTGCCTTCATAATCACCTCTTTTAAGAAACTCCATGGGTCCTTCACTCCCTTTGCCATATTTAAGCCTGCCAGGCCCGCAGCCTTGACTGTGAGTCACAGTCACAGTCTTGACTGTGAGTTCCAGGTCCTGATGTGGGATTTGAATTCACAACCTTCTGAGCCCACGACCCCAATCCTTGCCAGGTTCCACGGGCTCCCTGTCTCCGAAAAATTGATTTCAAGATCCTTACCTCACAATAATAATCCCTTTAAGCCCGAGCTTCTCCCTGCCTCCACACCTCAAGCGCCGACAGCATCACTATCCAAAGGTGCACACTCCACCTCACTAAGCCAGTCCAGAACCTTGGCGTCTTGTTTGACCCTCAACTATCCTTCCTACCCCACATGTGCCATGACCCAGTCTGCCTTCCCCCACCTCCGCAAGATTGCCCGGCTCTGCCACTGGCTCACAAGACCCTCCTCTTCGACCATGCTTTCGATTACTCTCCACACCCCCCCCCCGGTCCCCCACCCTCCCCAATCCCGACCCCCAACTCGGGTCCCAAACATGGACTGTCCAGCGTCCAGCCTTGGGATGTCCTCCTGACGTGAAAGGCGCTATTCAAATGTGATTTTGTTGTTGTTGCCTCACAGACCTGCTCATGCTCCACTCCTATGCCTGCCCCCTTCGCTCATCTAACACAAGCTTCCACTCCCCATCCTCTCTGTACCACTATTGTGAAGTCCTGTAGCTCAATGGTTAGAGCACTCGCTTTGCAAGCGAGAGACCTGAGTTCAATTCCAGGCAGAGGGCGAAACCTTGGGCAAGTTTCCTTACTCCACACAGAGCCTAATAATAATCCCTCCAAAAAAAAAACAATAATAAATTGGTCATTTTCAATCTACGACTGTTTGTGGGACATTGCTGTGCGCAATTGGCTGCCGCGTTCGCCCACAAATATACAGTCAATTCACTTTACAGTATATTCTGTGAAGCGCTTTGGGACATCTAGAAGACGTGAAAAGCGCTATATCAAATGCAAGGATTATTATTATTATTATTATTCGTGACCATGCCTTCAGCCACTATGCTCCTAATCTGTGGAGCTCCCTGCCTCAATTACCCTCGTCCTCCCGCTTTATCTAACTTTAAATCCCACTATACCACTTCTATGGTCACCACCCTTCTCCCTTACTCAGAGTCCAACCCTGTGCAATGCTTTGAAACACTGTCCTGCATGAAGGGTGCTATATAAATGCATGTTGCTGTTCTGATTTAGAGGCAAAAGTGCTACCAACTAAGCATGGCTGACACACAAGCAGAAACTTTTAATTTATTTTGTGGTTTCATGTCATATTATCTGCAAATGAGAATCTATGAGAATACATAATAAACAATTCAAAATATTACATGCTTAAATAAATTACGGTATATTCTCAGGATCGATCCTTATTTTCATCCAAGAAAATAACACAATCAATATACTAAATGATTTCCTATTCTGTAGATATCCCATCAAAGCATAACACTTAAACTTGAAATCCTAACTAAAACATAAGCACTGACATTCATTTATGCAGTTATCGACAATTATTGCTATAGCAAGAAATATAGAATTTTGCTGGTGTTTAGATTGTAGAATGGATAAAATAATAATCCTTACGACAACAACTTGCATTTATATATGGTGCCATTCACGTGGGGTAGCATTCCAGAGCGCTTGACAGCGGCGGAGTCTTGCTCCAAGCCAAGGGGAGAGGGAGGGGAGAGGTGACTGTAAGCACGATCAAAAACAAAACTCTTGAGGCAGGATTTGAAAGTCAGGAGGGGCAAGGCAGAGGGATTGAGGATGAGAGTTCCAGAGCGTAATGGCTGAGGCACAGCCAATTGGAATTTCATGTAGTCCACAAAATACACAATACACATTTATACACAATACACTTACATTATATTCTGTGAAGTGCTTTGAGACATCTCATCAACAATGATAAGGCGCTATATCAAATGCAAGGATTATTATTATTTTTAGCACCTTATTAAAAGTCCCCGACGTATATCAAATGTGTTGTGATGAAAGGATTCGCCAATTTCCTATTTTATCTGATGTTCACAGAAATCATGACCTAAATCATACTGTGGTTGCAATTATCCATTGGCTGCCCAATGATTCAAGCAAAGAATACAGTCCCTTATCGTCCTACTTTGGTAGACGCTCCAAGCAAAAGGTTAGTTGTAACATGCTCTACAAATCTAGAAGGCTAACTCATGGATTTAATTTCAGAAAAGAAAAGTTGGACATTTATTACTTATTTTACACAAGACTGTAGTAAATACAGGTATGTTAAATTACTCAGGAAGTTGGTGAACCCAGGTGGTGTTAGAAGAAAAAATTTACGATTGTATCACAAAACTCACCTGTCCTGGGCATTTATTTTTTTGCTCAACACAGATAAATGCTGCAAGTACGCACTTGCATTCATAAAGAGAAAAAGTAAAGCCTTCCATTTTTTGATAAAACAGTTCCACAAATATACATTTACATTCGATCGTAAATCACATCTAGCTTCGCCCACAAATACATGGTCAATTCACTTTACAGCATATTCCGTGAAGCGCTTTGAGACGTGAAAAGCGCTGTATCAAATGCGAGGATTATTATTATTTAAGCGCTCTGAGACGCCGTCCAGCGTGGAGGGCGCTATATAAATCCAAGTTGTTGTTGTCGTTGCAAGCGAGGTTCGATTCCTGGACGGGGGTAAAACCTTAGGCAGGTTTCCTTACTCCAAACACTTATGTTTACCTGGCAGCAAGTAGGAACTCAGTTGTTAGTCGACTGGCGGATCACTTTCCAGGCGTAATGATCCCTTTTTAAAAAAATTGGTCACTCAGTCCACGACTGTTTGTGGGACACCGCCCGAGAGCGCAATTGGCTGCCGCGTTCCACCCGCAAAATACATACGGTCCATCCACTTTGCAGTTTATCCTGCGAAGCGCTTTGAGACGTCTCAATAACGTGCTAAGGCGCGATATCAAATGCCAGGATTATTCTGATCCCAGTCAACCTGACACCTGTGGATGGCACTCAATCTCGAAGTCCTGAAGAAAAAAGATCAGATGGATTCGATCCACGAGGAACGGCACAACTTATCGATTCCCATTTCAAACACTGATTACAAAATAATTGGCGAAAACACTTACTTCACTTTCAAAGTGTTTTTTTTCCGCCAGGAGTTTGATGGGAGACGAGGCATGAGATGCGGGGCGGGGAGGGAGGGGGGGGGGGGGGGGGAGAGGAGGTCTGCCCGCAGAGTCTGCTGGGAGGTGTAGTTTAAGAAGTTGACAAAATCGCGCTCAAACGGGAGCGCGAGCCGCAGCCGGACTACACTTCCCATTGTCCTCTGCTCACCGCAGCGCATGCGCACCCAATCGATGTTTGGCACGTCTCTTAGCAACGGCGCGGTCCTGGCGCTTTGCACGACGAAATTGGAGCCTGCGTCGGTACAGGACCATTTTTCAACACACAAGCAAAACACATACGTGACTTGGAGCTCGGTGAGAGCGTCATGAAGTGTCTATTTGTTAGGGGGGATTTTATTTGGCAGCCGTTCGCCAGAGCGAGGGAGAGAAAATGACTGAATGTAATGTAATGCGAGCGAAGTCTCCCTCTCGCGATTCCGATTGGCCGAAAGAAGCCACATCAATCAACGCTCGAGCGTGCGTCATATCCGGGGGTCGCCCACCCAAGTCGCCCGCGGTGCAGTGTGGGATGGTGTTGTCATGTCAGCCGAGGTGAGCGCGCAGCAGCGCCTCCAGCAACTGCGGCAGCGTCGGTGGAGCCGTTAATGTCAGCGTGAGCGCCGCCACACAGCAGCGACCCTTCTGCCCTACCGCCCGGATTGTGGGCCAGGCCTGGGGGGGGCGGGAGAGAGGAGAGCCGCGGGGAGGGTGACAGAGAGGCACCGCCCGCCCGCCCGCCGCGCTGTAAAGCCGCTTCAGCCAGGCAGCTGCCCGGGGAGGCGACGCCAAACCAACCGCAGCGGCTGCCATCATGAACAGGTTCCGCAAGTGGCTGTACAAACCCAAGGTAAGTCACCTATACACTCACACACCGGGTACACTGTGTGCACCCCCCCGGCCCGGCCCGGCCCGCCAGCGGGGGGCGGGGGGTTGGGGGTAACGAGGGACATTGCGTTGATTTGGTGTTTACGGCACATGGTTTGAAGTTTCTGTGCTTTTTGTAAAAAGCCCGGCCCGGCGCCACCCACCCACCAGCCAGCCACCCACCAGCCACCCACCCACCCAGCGCCACCCACCAGCCACCCACCAGCCACCCACCCACCAGCCACCCACCCACCAGGCACCAGCCACCCACCCACCAGGCACCAGCCACCCACCCACCCACCAGCCACCCACCCACCAGGCACCAGCCACCCACCAGCCACCCACCCACCAGGCACCAGCCACCCACCCAGCACCAGCCACCCACCCACCAGCCACCCACCAGCCAGTCACCCACCCAGCACCCACCAGCCAGTCACCCACCCAGCACCAGCCACCCAGCACCCACCAGCCAGCACTCAGCCACCCTGCCAACACCAGCCACCAGCACCAGCACCCAGCACCAGCACCCAGCCAACACCAGCCACCACCCACCCAGCACCCAGCCAACACCAGCCACCACCCACCCAGCACCCAGCCAACACCAGCCACCACCCACCCAGCACCAGCACCCAGCCAACACCAGCCACCACCCAGCACCAGCACCAGCACCCAGCCAACACCAGCCAGCGCCACCCAGGCCCGCGGCCACTCAACCCCTCCCGCACATATGAAGCGGCGCTTCATTTCGACGGTATTTTGGCTTCAGCTGATGAGCGTCAGAGAGGGAGAGAGTGGAGGGGAGTGGAGGCTAAAGCTCTGGGTGCAGCGGCCGGTTGACTGGCTCATGGTTGCTGTGGTCCGGGCTGGCGCCAGGGTCTGGGACTGGGGGTTACGAGTCGCACTGCTCCTTTGCCGGGGCACTGCGAGCAGCGAATGGCCGGAGATTACAAGGGCTCCGCGTGTGAGGTGCAAACCCAAAAGAGAGAGAGAAAAAAAACCTCTCAACTCCTGTGCCGCCCCGCACCGCCCCGCCCCGCCCCGAGCCGTGGGGTTAGAGTCCATTTGCGAGGTGGCACCGCTCAGTCACCGCGATCACACTCAGATTTATATTGCTGTGTTTTGCAACACGATCTAAAGGGGGAAATCGTTCAACGCTATGATTTTGCTTGAGATGTTCACGCCGTAAAGTTGCTGTTCCTTTTCTGGTGGGACATCGTTACAATTTCGCATTGAAGTGCCAATAAAGAGGGCCGTTGTTGTGTTGACTTCGTGTTCAGCATTTATGGCGCAAGGATTGAAGTTTCTTGAGTTTTACAAGAAACTCGCAGGCAATAGCTAACGCTGTTTTCGTTTTTAAAAATGTTGATGTAACGGGGGCTGATGTTAGAACCGTCTCCCAGCAATGCCGAAAATGGATAAGTACATCTGAGGCTTTTCAATTGAATAATGCTGAGCAAGGTTTCTGATGGCACTTTTAATACCTGTCTGGATGACTATTATCTCATCTCCAGCCCATTCATGTTGCTTTCCTACCCGATACTCTGCGGTATGTGGGGATTGTGCAGTGAAACATGGTTTGTCGAAATCAATATTAGCCACATTTAACATGTCAGTAGCATTAGTCAATGAAAGAATTGAAAAAAAGATTAAAATGCAGCACTCAACATCAAATTGCATTTGCTACACTTTACAGAAAAACATGTCAAGCGTTTCAGCTATTTTGACAATATCATAAGGTGCTGTATCAAATGGAAGGAATGGTATTAAATATGCTTATGATCCAAAGTCTGTGAATTCTGAAATTACAATTGGACTCAGTTTGGCTATCATTACTAAAAAGGTACATTGTCCACTTGAACGGGTGGACTTCTTTGGTGGATTAGTGGAGTCCTGTAGCTCAGTGGTTAGAGCACTCGCTTTGCAAGTGAGAGACCTGAGTTCAATTCCAGGCAGAGGGCGAAACCTTGGGCAAGTTTCCTTACTCCACACAGAGCCTAATAATAATCCCTCCAAAACCCAAAACAATAATAAATTGGTCATTTTCAATCCATGACTGTTTGTGGGACATTGCTGTGCGCAATTGGCTGCCGCGTTCGCCCACAAATATACAGTCAATTCACTTTACAGTGTGTTCTGTGAAGCACTTTGGGACGTCCTCCCGACGTGAAAAGCACTATATCAAATGCAAGGATTATTATTATTATTATCAAGATCTGATTTACTTGTTTTTCCATTAGGTTAGTTGCCAGACAAATCATCAGTCTTTGTTCTGGTTAACTTCATTTTGTAGATTTGTGGGAATGCTTTCTCTCAAAAACACAATGTTCTTTTTCACAGTAATTCTCAGTCAGGATGCGAAGCTAGTGTTGTCTAAATTTTGCCAGTTCATTTTAAGCTGGTTTGTTGGGAGAATTGTGTACTGCAGAATTGACTGCATAACCCAGTAATTTCATATTGTAGAAGTATTTCTCCAGAAGGTTGTTTTGAATATTATGTTTACCTGGTATAAAGAAAAATTCTGCTAAATGTTCTTCAGTGTTCCCTAATATAGTAAATTTTAGTATTAAATGTTGTTATTTTTCTTCCTCTACTTGCTGAAAATAGTAAGATCGAAGATTGAAATTAAAGTGGGTTTGTTAGACTAACCTTTTGGAGTTTGCCGCAGTTCCTATTCTGCCCTCTGGTTTGTCAGTTGAATCCCCAATAATAGTTTATAAATAATATGAAGGTTATGTACATCATAGATAGCATGTAGCTATGCTATGCAGTTAGATCTGAAATGTGATTTGCTATCTTTGCTGCATATTTTCTATAATCAAACTTAAATTATTAAATGAACTGTTATCATTGAAATGTATGATTTTCTTTAATACAGGTGTGTGAAACATGTATTACATGTGTCATATATTATACATATATGCATATTTGTAAAGCAGTCAAGGATCCTGAAGTGGTTCTTTGCATTCTAGAGGAAGTTATTCCCTTGAATTGCAGAAATAATAATCCTTGAATTTAATATAGTGCCTATAAGCATTTAACATCTCAGAGTTTCTGTGAAGTATGGTAACTGTATTTGTAGGTGAACATAGCAGCTAATTCATACAAGCAATGTCCCATAAACATCCATGACGAGTTTACATTAGGATTAAAATTTGTTCTGGATTTAGTTTTGGGAATCCATGATGAACTTTTGGTTATCTTCGATTTATTTGTTTTTGTAGTTTGAGCAAATGCTGAAGTTCTAGTCAGGGTTTCCCTTCCGATTATCAAAACCCTGTTGGAGATTGCATGTGAATGACCTGTGATAACCTGCCATTGGTAAATTGTCTGCTGGCACATTCTATCCCATCTTAGAAAAATATATAAAACTGTTTTGTTTTTTTAAAAAAGTGACAGGCTACAGGCACATGGAAAACAATATCCTTGCAGATTTTGATGTTTCCAGGAGATGTCTTGGAGGAAATTCTTGGGGAAATTCAACTTTCTTGGGGGAAATTAGGAAAGATAAATTAGAAATCTTCAGTTTATATAGTGGATTGAGGACAACCAACCAATGACATTTTATTTCAAATGAGTTGTAGCATCATATTTTTACTGTCTCTTATTTTTTAAATTTTAAAGTTTAGCTTTATCCATCTGCATTTTGTCGAGACAATTTAGGTTTCATATATTCAAAAAATAAGGACAATAGCAAATGTAGTGTGTACGATAAGCACAGCCTCTGAATTTCTCAGCTGAGAAGGATTTTTCATCATCTGAGACCTCACACATTTTCAGGACATTTGCATCTCCATCATTTGCATCTCTTGAAAGAGGGGGCGGGGGGGCGCGGGGAGAGTGCAAGGGACAAGCCAGTGCCAGTCGAACAGAGGCATCGGATGGTGCATTTGGGAGTGAGGAGGTGGGAGAGGTAGGGAGGTGCCAGGGAGTGAATGGATTTGAACACAAATGTGAGGATCTTGAAGTTGATCCGATCAGTGATGGGGCAGCCAGTGGAGCCTGGTCAGGACTGGTGAGTTTAAAGCTCCTTTCACTTCCGGAGGACGTCCCAATGATTATAAGTTATACATTTATAGTTATCATTATAAAGGTGCCTCAGCGAAAATCAAATCTTTCAAGGATAAGTGTGTCTATCTGTGTGTCAATCTGCATTCCATATTTGATCCTTTGGTTGCAGGTGTAGCTGGAATGGGTACAGTTAGGTACAATAACAGCAAATCACATTTTGTATAGTGACTTTCACGTCGGGAGGAAGTCCCAAGACAAGGGAGGGGGCGAGGCGGAGGGACTGCGGGATGGAGTTCCAGAGGGTAGGGGCAGAGTGGCTGAAGGTCCGTCTGCCAATGGTGGGCCGAGTGAGCTGGGGGACGTGAAGCAGGTAGGAGCCTGTTAAGTGGAGGGAGCGAGACGGAATGTTAGCGGGTTAGGAGGTCGCAGAGGTAAGGGGGAACAAGACCATGTGGGGCTTTGAAGGTGAGGACCAGGATCTTGAACTGTATCCTCTGTGTGATGGGAAGCCAGTGCAGTCAGACGAGGATTGAGGTGATAGGGTCATGGAGCCTGACGCAGGAGAGGACATGGGCTGCAGATTTCTGGCACCATCTGCAGTCTATGGAGGAAGGAGATGGGGAGGCCGGCAAGCAAGGACTTTGCTTAGTGAAGCTTCAATATAATGAACGTGTGTATGAGGGTTTCAGCGAGTTGCGGTGTGAGACAGAGGCGCGGCGGGCAATGTTGTGGTAAATTCTAAAGGCACCGTACTTCAAACTGCATGCAGAGCAGCTCTGTTAAATGGCTGTCTGGATTCATTATAAGCAAAGAGTAAAGAATGGCTGTCTTAGAATCATTGAAATTTACAGAACAGGACGTTGTCGTTGTCCCATAGAGTTTGAACCAACTTTCAGACCCAGGGGTTCATTCAATCCCATTGCCCTGCCTTATCCCTCATACCAATATCTTCTGAGTTGTTGGATCAATGGAGTCCTGTAGCTCAGTGGTTAGAGCGCTCACTTCGCAAGTGACAGACCTGGGTTCGATTCCCAGTAGAGTGAAACCTTGGGCAAGTTTCCCTACTCCACATGCCTAATAATAATACCCCAAAAAATAAGTTGGTCGCTTCAATTGAAGCGCTTTGGGACGTCCTCCTGACGTGAAAAGTGCTATATCAAATGCAAGTATTATTAATCCAATCTGAAGTGTGGGATCTGTTTGTAGGACACTGCTGTGCGCAAATGGCTGCCTCATTTCGTCCACAAATATACAGTCAATTCACTTTACAGTATATTCTGTGAAGGCTTTGAGATATCTAGATGTGATTCAGTGCTATATCAAATGCAAGGAGTATTTTTATTTTCTTTGTGAAGTGAAATCATCAGTACCTCTGACTCGTCAGCTCTGGAAACCATATATATCACAAGACTTTTAGCTACAAGTGACACATGCTCAACCAGTATGATTTCAAATGGGTACCACAGTTTTTGAAGGTTGTTGGTCTTTTCTACAGTCATTTTTGAATTTCCTGATGATTGCTATGTTCTCAAATCAATTATTATTGTCTAATGTAGTTACGGCATGTTTGATGGCTAATTCATCTTGCTTTATGAAGTGCATTGTAATTTGCTATTTTTTCTTCCAATTTTCATGGCAAATGATGTAGAAATTTGTATTTGAACCAAAGGTTTAGAAGATCAGATCCCTGGATTGTCTGTCACTCATTCATGGCTTGCAATGAATTGCAATGAATGTGCAATTGCCTCCTCCCTTTCCTCCTTCAAGGCCGGTCTCAAGACCTTTCTCTTTGACCGTACCTTCAGCTCCTCTCTCAACTCTCTACCCCCTCCTCGCCCCTCCCTTCCCTCCCCTCACCCTGACCATTTCCCCCCTCCTCGCTCCCTCCCTTCCCTCCCCCTGACCATTTCCCCCCTCCTCACTCCCTCCCTCCCTTCCCTCCCCCTGACCATTTCCCCCCTCCTCGCTCCCTCCCTCCCTTCCCTCACTCTGACCATTTCCCCCCAATGCTCGGGTCCTGACCCAACTGTACAGCGCCTTGGGACGTCCTCCCGACGTGAAAGGCGCTCAATAAGTGGAATCTTGTTGTTGTTGTTGTTCCAAGGCATTTCACTCCAGTTGAGATGAGCAGAAGATCTCCAGCTTGTTTGTTCCAGTTTTTTTTAAAAAATCATCTCTAACTGCCAAACCATCTTCTCTGATCTCTGATCTGGCTTACAGATGGTTGACAGCAGGAGCAGTTTCTCTGCTATCCAGCTGGAATTGAACCTCATTAAATACTGAATCACACCTACAGTGTGAATTACATAATTGGAATGACAGGGACCGAATAGCAGCAATTCCATTTCATGCTTCAGTTAATGATCGTGAACCTTTCCAGTTTAACTGAACAGCTGATTGGACTTGCTAGTTTGTGGCTCTCCTCTTATGTTTTTTGTTGGACAGAAACTTTGAATATTGCATTATGCCGGTGTCAGAGGCTCAGTTGTCAACACTCTTGCCTCTGGGCCTGAGTATCATAGGCTCAAGCCCCGTGTCGGGGTTTGAGCTCACACTTTAGGCTGACACACAGCGTATTGCTGGAAAGGAATACTTCATTGTTAGAGGTGTTTCCCTTCAGGTAAGATATTAATCCCATCTGCCTGTTTAGGTGGGTGTTGACGATCCAATGACACTATTGGGAAAGAGGAGTGTGTTTTGTATTTTGCGGGTGGGGGGGGAGCACGGAAGGGTGATGTTGGATTGAGGGCAGGACCAGGCTCAGCATTTTTAGGACTTCCTGTATGTGTGTGTGTGTATAATATATATAATATTGTAAGACCCATAATATCTTACTGATAATGATACCATGACTAGCACCATGCAAAATGTGAATAATGGAAACTTTACATGTTACAAGCGAATGGTGAAATAAAGTTGCATGCTGTGCATCCCAAGCAAAAAATATTGGATATATTTGAAACGAACTTACCTGCACTGCTCAGCCAGCCGCGGGTCAGTCAACAAACATTCGTGACGAGCAGCCTGGTACCAAGGGAAAAGCTCGCCCTCAGCCAACTGTGTGATAGGCTATTGTGACTGTAGTGCAAGATCTCTGAGTAGAAATTTCAGACCTTGCCTTCTGTGAGTTTCTGCCTGAGTGGAGTCCTGTAGCTCAGTGGTTAGAGCACTTGCCTTGCAAGCGAGTTAACTGAGTTTGATTCCCAGGAGAGTGAAATGTTAGGCAAGCTTCCTTACTCCACACGCTGCTGTTTACCTAGCAGTAAATAGGAAGTCGGTTGTCCATCGATTGGCGAATTGCTTTTCTAAGGGTAATGATTTCTTTGGAAAAAAACAATAAATTGGTCACTTCAATCCACGACTGTTTGTGGGACACTAGTGTGCGCAATTGGCTGCCGCTTTTTCGCCCAAAAAATACACAGTCATTCACTTTACAGTATATTCTGTGAAGCGCTTTGAGATGTCTTGAAGACATATTAAGGTGCTATATCAAATGCAAGGATTATTATATCAGGAGTTCACTGTAATTCATATTGTAAATACCAAAACTTTTTTGCATTTATACAATTGGTGGAAGCCGCTGCATTTCTTGTTGTCTTTGAGTGGTCCTGAAAGCTGTGAGGATCAAATCTGTGTTTTTTTTAACCTTAAACCTGATTTAAAGTGCAGCCAAGGTTATTTCTGAAGTTGGTGATTTTTCTTATGCAGTTTAGTCACACACATGCCAGCAATGTATAAAAATTTGCAGTGTCAGCCAGACTGTGATTTGCCTTCTTAACACCGTTTTATGCAGCTGCTAATTGATAGTCATACATTGAGAGCCTGATCAAAGAAAGCTGCATAATCACTGCGCCTGACTGTAACACGGGCTGAGTTAATCTCAAGATTTTCTAATTTCAGAAGTTTCGATTGTAATGGGTTTGAAGTGCTTCATTTGACGACTTGATGCATTTTGTTGGTCTGGCTATGAAATAAGAATGGGTGAACAGGCAGTAAAATCTTAATCAGTGAGTAAATGGGCGATTTTTCAGACCATGTGTTAGTTTTTTTTTTGAACAATTAAATTACTTTGTTCAGAAAGTAGAGCCAGTGTATTCTGTGTATGGCCAGTGGAACCAAGCAAAGCTGGGGATGACCGCGGAGTCTGATACGGGAAAGGACATGGGCTGCAGAATTCTGGATAGTTACATGAGAAATTAAAGCATTTGGGGATGTTTTGTTTGATTGCTGTGTGTTTTTAACCTTCAGCTTTCTTAATTTGCGAATGCAGTATGTTAACACCTAGAGTTCAACAAGATCTGACGTTTTTTAAATTGCCTAAAGGTAGATCCTGCTGGGTTAACTAATTGCCAAAAAAGTCATACAGAAGTTGTGAATCAAAACTTGAGTTGCATTTCAAGGATATTAGACAATAGTTCAATTCCAGATTTATGTAATGAACCATCAGAAACATGTAATGTTCACCATTTTTAAATCTGAAAGTGTAATAGTGCATTGAAGTAGGAGGTGAACCTCTTGAGCAGATACAACTGTGCTGTTTATTCCTAATCTCCAAAAGGTGTGCTTAGAATGATGTACTAAAAGTCCTAAAATACCCTAACGATCATTGAAATATTTCATTTTGTGGATAAGCCTTTGGGTTTATTCTGCATTTTTATATCCCAAAATTGGAGCAAATCAATGGTAATATCTTTTTGGCAAACATTACACTTTACAGTAATTCCTGTGAAGCGCCTTAGATGTACTTTCACCATGAAAGATATCATATCAAATAGAGTGCGTCTCTCTAAAACAAAGATTTTCACTGATGTTGTAAATATATAACTACTTTTTTCTTCTCTTGAGTCCATAAAATAAATGATAAAATCACGTATTGTATTTTTGTAATCAAGCTGAGTACTGCACTAAATGATCTAATCACCAGATTGTTTAGCACCTGGGAGAACCTATTACGACTTTCCTGCGGTGTAACTTTGTTGAGTTGTAACTCTTTCGTTCGTCCCAACCGTCGTCTTACAACCAGACCATACTCCGTGGAAATATCCAAAGTAAGATTTATTGCAATTGCAAGAGCTGATTCAAGAGCAGTCAACAGTCTCTAAGAAGAGCACCGGACAGTCAAAAGAATGAGCTGCTTTTGGTCAGTTAAAGCAGCCTTTTTATCCCCAAAAGTGCTCAAGGTCGTAAAGCATACAAAGGCAATTAAAAAAACTTTATCAATCATGTAGTTCCAACGACTATTCGAATGGTGACGTCAATCGATCTATATCTGTAGACAAGGTTAAATGTCATCTACTTAATTAGTATCCATTCATGTTGATTATTATTCTTTAAAATATCAATCAAATATAATTGGCATAGAATATGTACCTGATTAATACCGTTGTCTAAAGTATACAAGATCCAATCTAAAGCTATCTAACAAGAATACAACCTTTAAAATTTATAATACAGAGTAAGAAATAACGAGGGAAGGGATCTCAGGTTAGGGGAGGATTCAGGGACGTTAGAGGCATAAGTTTATCTCCCGATGGTGTTTGTGTCAGACAATGACCTATTCATTTCAAAGTTGCAGAAGTTACTGCTTCTCTGCTTCCATGGAATGTCCACCCAGATAAGGATGCAGTTGGCATTGCCAAGTCTGAGTTTTCCCAGGACTTGTTTTTTTAATGTTTCAGCTAATGTTTGACTTAAAAAGGCATAACATTATTTCTAGGTATAAAAGATTTTTCTACAATTTCACTACAATTTCACATTCCCTCCTTTTATCATATCCCATATGATAACACCAAATTGTTGCTTATACCTCCTGCGTACCATTTTCATCCTTCCAATATTTCCTGTCCCTGTTTACTTGTCGTTCCACTAACTCTCTATTTATTTCCTCCTTAGTACAAGTCGTTGCACAACCATATACTAATTTAACTACTAATAGCAATGCCAAAATCCAAAATATCCACTCTAGTATTGCAGTTCCCCATCCATTCCGTATAGTGCCAATCCAACAGAATGGTGACCAGCCGCAACTACCCTTATGTTTATCAATGTCCCCTGCCTCATCACCTGCTTCCTTGACTTTTTCACTTTCTTCAGTTATATTTGATGAATAATCATTTATCCAGGAGCAACATTCTGGACCAATTATAGCGCATGCTCCTCCTTGAGTGGCCAAAGTCATGTCTAACGCCATCCTGTTCTGCATTGTCATTTTTCTGATGGCTTGTTGTTCTTTATTTAAACGATCAATACTCAATGATGTAGCTCTTGACATTTCTTGAAGGTTGCCTGCAAGGGCTCTTATTTCTGCTAGTGACACCTCTGTTCCATATAGTGGAACGAAGGTGGATAACAGTTCTGTATACCATTGGTTGTCGTACCATCGCATACTCCTCTTATGCCGATGTAGTCCTTTTTGTTTTAACCTTTTCATCTGTGTTACTCGAGCATCCTCTTCTGGGGTATCGCTGGTGTACCTGAAAGAAGGCACTACATAAGCTAGACCACATCTTCCGAGCCACCCATTAGGCAACCATTTGTAGGCTGTATCTCCACATATCCAATGAAGTTCATCTGGAGTTTGAATAGAACAGGAATGTGACATTAATATCACCTTGGCCAGTGCTGGTGTAATACTCTGAAGGCACTGTGATACTGGTTTAACTATTCCCTTGGCATTAGACACTAAAGGGTTCGCATCAGGGATTATTGAGTCCCCCTGGACTATCACGCTACATTTAGAGGAAGGCAGTTGTCCTAATTCCTTTCCAGTCATTAGCATATAATTGTTGTTATTGGGAGCAAAACCCTTTCTGTCCCAGTTTTCCAGACACCATTCAAAAACTGGTACTATCTTAACCTCCATGCTTGGTGGCATATCATCACATCTAATGCAGTCTTCGGAGGGGTTTGTTTTATCTTCTTCCCCTTGAAAACAGGTGATGGGTGTATAACGACTAGCTTTCATATTAATACTACAATTATTTCTTTCGTTGGCTGTCAGGTAACATAAATCACAGTCAGTAGAGGCAATAGCCATCATTGTTATACCGGAACCTACAGAGCGAGGCTGTGGCATGCATATCACCCTTCTCGTACTGTTGTTGGCATATTGCCTTACTAAGCCCAAATACTGAAGGAACAAATTCTCCTTCTCTGAGTGTTTTTGATAATTAACCCTTAAGTGTTTAGTCATGACCAGGTTATTATTAGTTTTGGCATTCCCATCTAAAAGGTCCATTTTAGCTCTAATTCCTGTATCCTTTTTGCATGTCAAGTCTCCCAATCTGGTATATTGCATGTTACAGCATCCCGTTTGTAATGTAATACCAGTTCCTGTAGTAAACCTGCAGGAAGTTTCATTTCTGCGGCTACAGTTAGTGTTACCATTCTGACTTTCCAAATAAACCAATTCTTCTTCATTTCCCTTACGTATCGACACTATCGCTAACAGTTGTTGGAAAGCGTCCCCTGGTTCTAATGCTAAAGTTTGGTTAGTCAGGTTAGTAAACGTCATGTACACGTCCTTTCCATGTGTTATGTTTACACAACATAATATCATTATGTATACGTAAGTCTTTTGCAGTGGTTCAATTGAACCCATTTCTCTCGTCCTTGTAGCTTGGCAGCAGTCGGTGTTGTTAGCAGCACTTGAAATGGCCCATTCCACCGGGGTTCCAATTTTTTGTGGGTCCAGTTGCGAATCAAGACGTAGTCTCCCGCTTGTATCCGAGGACCAACGTCCTTCGAATCTTCCGTCTGTCCGCCTCCCTCCTTGTGTAGGTTCTGGACCTGTGAATGATACTGCTGCAAGCTTTTTGTTAGAGCAATCACATAATCATGTACTTCGCTTGTCATCTCATAAATGTTAGAAGGATTATGTTTCTGGGAAAAAGCCCAGGGAGTTTGCAATGTTTTTCCGTATAATATTTCAGCCGGAGACAGCTTGGTTTGCCGTTGTGGTGTGACTCTCATTTGGAATAAGAGCCATAGGTAGAATTTTAAACCAGCTCAGTCCCGTTTCTTCAGACAATTTTGAAAGTTTGAGTTTCAATGTTTGATTAGCCCTCTCCACCAATCCTGCAGATTGAGGATGGTATGGACAGTGAAACTGCTGTTTGATGTTTAATTGGTCACAAAGTTCTTTGTTTATCCGGGCTGTGAAGTGTGGTCCGTTGTCTGAACTTATACAACTGGGAATTCCAAATCGTGGTATTATTTCTCTTAATAAAATTTTTACAACTGTTTCTGCAGTGTTGCAGGTAGTTGGATAAGCTTCTATCCACTTACTGAATACATCTACAATTACTAGACAATATTTGTAACACTGAGTTTTTGGCAATTCAATGAAATCTAGTTGAATTGTATCAAATGGCCCTGCTGGAAGAGGAGTACGGCCTAGGGGGCATGGTGTTCCTTTTCCAATGTTAAATTTTTGGCAAATTAAACATCTTTGTATTACCTTTTGGGCGCTTTGGTCAAATAAAGGGCTCCACCATGATTGCAGTAATAACCCCACCATTCCCTCCTTGCCAGCATGCATTTGTTGATGAACAACATCAACTAACCATGGTAGTAAGCTAAGTGGAACACAACACTGTCCGGCCGGAGTTAACCATACTTTTAAATTGTCATCATATGTACATCCATTGTTTTCCCATTCTGTTATTTCATCTGTAGAGGCCTCTTTTTGTAATGAGATAACGTCATCTAAAGTTGGCATCTTTTTTACTTCAGAATCTGACTTTATCCCTGCGGATCTTTGAGCCATATTCGTCAATTTAGGAACAATTAATTTTTGCTCTCGAGATGCCAATTTAGCTGCTGCATCAGCTCGTCTATTCCCATTGTCAACTGCTGAAGTCCTGGTTGTATGTGCTGCGCATTTAATGATAGCTAGCCTATTAGGTAGAAGTATGGCTTTCAGTAAATTAACTATTAAAGTCTTATTCTGTATGTCTTGGCCTGAACTGGTTAGGAAACCTCACTGTTTCCATATGTTCCGAAATCATGGGCTACCCCAAAAGCATATCGGGAATCTGTATACATGTTAACGTCTTTTCCCTCTGCCAGTATGCTTGCTCTGGTAAGAGCAAACACCTCTGCTTGTTGTGCAGATGTTGGCTCTTCAAATGCTGCTGCTTCTATCTCCATTTCCCCTGTCACAATAGCATAGCCAGATTTTCGTTTCCCAAACTCATCAATAGAGGAACTCCCATCAACATATAATGTTAAATCGACTTTGTCCAGGGGTATATCTGTTAAATCATCCCGTGGAGACGTAGTGTGCTGTATCACTTGAATGCAATCGTGATTTGCGTCATCTAAATCAGCTGGCCGATGAGAGAGGAACGTTGCGGGGTTAATGTTTGTGCAGCAAACAAAGGATAGCTGAGGATTGCTGAGTAGGGCTGCCTCATATCTACTCTGTCGTGCCATAGTTAAATATTGTGTCTGCATTTGGCATAGTAATGCTGAAACAGAATGTGTCGTATGTACCACTGTGCTTGAGTTTAGTGTAATGTTCGATGCAGCCTGTAAGCAAGTGTATATAGCTGCCAATATCTGAGTGCAGTGTGGCAGTCCTTTAGCAACAGCATCCAGTTGCGTGCTATAGTAGGCTACTGGTCGCTGTCGATCACCATGTAGTTGTGTCAATACCGCAGTAGCGCAAACCTCCAATACTGTCACATAAATGTGAAAAGGTTGATCGTATAATGGTCTCCCGAGTGCTGGTGCTGTTGCCAATACCGCTTTTAATGTGTTAAATGCCTCTAATTCTTTCTCAGGTAATTTGTATTGACTGTCTGTCAGAGTTGTAGAATAGGGTGTTAATAATTTAGTGTACAGTGTAACATTAGGTATCCATTGACGGCAATAATTGAGCAACCCCAAAAACTGTCGCATTTTAGTGGGTGTATTAGGAGGTGGCAAAGCTAATATTGGCGCTATTCTTCCTTGTTCTAATTGCCTGGTATGTGCCGATATTATTACTCCCAAAAATTTTACCGATGTTTGTCCTATCAATATTTTCTGAGGTGGGACAACGTACCTGAGATTCTTTAACTCGTTAAGCAATTGAACGCTGCCTTTCTCGTTTGCATCCCTGCTGGAACTAGCCAACAACAAATCGTCAATGTACTGTATTACCGTAGATCCCTCTTTTAACTTAATTTTTCGTAACTGTGATTGTAGTGTTGTGGAGAATATGGTAGGGGAATTCACGAATCCTTGCAGGAGTCGTGTCCAAGTATATTGTCTTCCCTGGAAAGTAAATGCGAACAAATACTGACTAGATTTATCCAACGGTATAGAAAAAAATGCATTCTGTAAGTCTATCAGTGTAAAAACTTCAGTTTCTGCTGGTATCAGCGAACAAATAGTGGCGGGATTTGGTACTAGGGCATACGCTTCTTTAACAATTTTGTTAATAGCCCGTAAATCTTGCACCAGTCTATAATCCTCATTCTTTTTGAGTACTCGCAGTATTGGCGTATTGCATGGTGATGAACAAGCGACAAGTACGCCTTGCTCAAGAAATGAAGTAATTAAAGGCTTAATGCCTTCTTCAACTTCCCGTTTTAAAGGATACTGCCTTATTGATGGAAGTCTTTCTCCGTCTTTTATCGGTATTTTAATAGGCAGAACATTAGTATACCCTAACTGCATTTTGTCCACTGCCCATACTCTACTGTCTATCCCCTGGGGAGATGACCGTGTATGTGAAGCATGTTTGTTTAAAATACCAACAACTGGTATTGGTGACCAAAATTCTACTGAGACTGTGTTTTTAACTTGTATTCCACTATTGCATGTGTCTGCCCATAACAGAGCATCATGGACCATTATCCCCAAATCTTTAGCGTGGTAACCATCTGCCACAGATAATGTTATGTGTGGTGCAGTTTCATCATCCTGTTTCCATACATAATGAGGCACCGTAACTATCAATGCTGATCCTTGACTACCAGTCACTACCCCGTTAATTTCTACCGTCTGTGGAGTCCCTAACATTTGTGAAAAGTACCTATCCAACTCTGTATCTGTACCCGATGCATCATAAGCGAGGGTAATGTGTGGTGTGGGCGGCATATTCTGCAACAGAATGTCATGCTCTGTGAAATCTATCGCCCACCATGAAGCGTGTATGAACTGTGAATACACTGTTGCCGTGTTATTTGCATTAATGCTAATCCTTTCATGATTGCATTCAATACTTAAGTTCAGACCGCATAGTAAATCTCTGGCCAAAATGTTTACATCCAAATTAGTGGTGACCACAAAGCAGTGTTCAACAGTAACGTCTCCGTACGTGGTTACCAACGGTATTGTGTTAGCATAATTTTGTAGTATTCCAGCAAAACCTGAAAGATTGGTGGTTTTGCCGTTTGTTTTAAAACCGAGTTGTGATTGAATTGACGAACATGTTGCTCCGGAGTCCACTAAAAATGGAACTTCCCGCCCTTCTACTATGACTGTTAGAATGGGTTCTTTCACAGCAGCATTTGTTAGTAGCAACATGTTTCTATCCGCCCGTCAATCCTCATGTGGAAAAGGATTGCCGGTGGTGAACTGAGGTCTCTCTCTATTTTGCGGTGGCTGGGGCATTTGCGGCTGTCCGCCGTGGTACCAATTATCTTGTCCCCTTTGTCTTTGTGGAAAAGAATTTACTTCGCCAAATGTATACGGCATGGGGGGTCCTCTAGGTTCGTAATTTAGTTGAGGTGGTTTCGGTACGTATGGTATTTGCCCACGGGGGAAAGGACAATTTTTTTTTAGGTGGCCTGGGTACCCACAATTATAGCAAACATATCCCAGGGGTATTGTATACTCCGTTCCTGCGTTATACCTTTCATAATCTTGTCTATTTTCTGACTCAAACCCACCATTCCCTGATGATGTTTTTTAGCATGGTGCCTGTGTCTGTAGTGGTGTTGTTTTTCCTCCCTGTTTGTGTATTCCGCCTTTACTTTAATTTCTTTATTTTCTTTTAATTTTTGTTCTAAATTATCTGAAGCTGTCTGATCCCAATAGTACCGAATTGACCTACCCATTTGAGCCTGCGGGTTTTCCTGCCAATTCATGTTGTTGGTTTTAACCATTTCAGCTACTTTTGCTGGAACTGATTGTAAAACCAAAGCATTATATTGTGGCGATGGTTGCCCTGCCAAATAAGTTATGTCGTCGGAGAAACTGGCTACCACTGAATTGTTCTTTCTTTTTTCACCTTCTTCTATCCATTTTTTAATGGCTAACTTAGTTTTTAACCCTTTTCCGCAGCCTCGTTTTTTCCATATTGCATTTTGTATTTTTATTAGTTTTTCCAAATCCCAAGTACCTCCTTGAGGCCAACCTTCCAATTGCTTGCTAGCCTGCCCAGACAGTAGTCTGAATTTAGTCTCGTATTCAGGATATAATGTACACATAATTTGGACCGGATCCTTTGGGCTATTTGCTTTGTCAAGTACGGTACCCATTTTTTAAAAAAGATTTTTACACACCGGTGTATTCCTGTAATTTTGGCTCAATAGTTGTCAAAATTGTCTTTCTTCATGAATTTCACTAAAACACAACTTATAACACACGATACAACAAATAACAAAACACAAATGAATTACACTAAAACACAACTTATAACACTCGATACCACAAGTAACAAAACACAAAATCAATACTATAAAACGTCACTCATTACCCAATCAAATTTTTGAATCGTTCAAAACTACAAATACGAATGCGTAATGGATTAGTTTGTCTAGCGATTATCAAATTCTCCCCGGTTTTCGAGCTACAAGTCGTTCAATACTACCATACCATCACGAACACGTAATGGATTAGTTTGTCTACGACGAACTCGTATTCTCCCCGTGTTTTCGAGCTACAAATCGTTCAAAACTACCATAACGCTACAACTGTGTAACGGATTAGTTTGTCTACCGTTGAACTCGTATTACACGTCGTGTGCTTCAAGCTACAAATCGTTCAAAACTACCATACCGCTACAAATGTGTAACGGATTAGTTTGTCTACCGATGAACTTGTATTGCACGTCGGGGAATTCTGTGCCCAAAACAATAATCAGCTAAGACAAATGCGTCAATTGTTTAGTGATTGGTTTGAGTTACACAGCTTTTAGAAAAACAAATTTATATTTTTTTAGTAACGTTTCCCCAAATATATTTTTCACTTCCAACGGATGTATATTAACGGTTCTGTTACTGGGTCTCATCAACAGTTACTTAGGTTCGATAGTCGTGGGTTACATTTGTTAAAAACAACATGTGAGAAACCAAGGTTTTACAGATAATATATCTCACCTTGTTGGCCTGTTTCTCGGATGCTGTTCTCGACAACTGCTTGACCTCTTATTCGACTCCTCGTTCCTTGATGTAACGTCTTGAGACCCTGCTCGCAGCGCCAAATGTTGAGTTGTAACTCTTTCGTTCGTCCCAACCGTCGTCTTACAACCAGACCATACTTCGTGGAAATATCCAAAGTAAGATTTATTGCAATTGCAAGAGCTGATTCAAGAGCAGTCAACAGTCTCTAAGAAGAGCACCGGACAGTCAAAAGAATGAGCTGCTTTTGGTCAGTTAAAGCAGCCTTTTTATCCCCAAAAGTGCTCAAGGTCGTAAAGCATACAAAGGCAATTAAAAAAACTTTTATCAATCATGTAGTTCCAACGACTATTCGAATGGTGACGTCAATCAATCTATATCTGTAGACAAGGTTAAATGTCATCTACTTAATTAGTATCCATTCATGTTGATTATTATTCTTTAAAATATCAATATAATTGGCATAGAATATGTACCTGATTAATACCGTTGTCTAAAGTATACAAGATACAATCTAAAGCTATCTAACAAGAATACAACCTTTAAAATTTATAACACAGAGTAAGAAATAACGAGGGAAGGGATCTCAGGTTAGGGGAGGATTCAGGGACGTTAGAGGCATAAGTTTATCTCCCGATGGTGTTTGTGTCAGACAATGACCTATTCATTTCAAAGTTGCAGAAGTTACTGCTTCTCTGCTTCCATGGAATGTCCACCCAGATAAGGATGCAGTTGGCATTGCCAAGTCTGAGTTTTCCCAGGACTTGTTTTTTTAATGTTTCAGCTAATGTTTGACTTAAAAAGGCATAACATTATTTCTAGGTATAAAAGATTTTTCTACAATTTCACTACAATTTCATTACAATTTCACTACAATTTCACAACTTGATGGCACATATTGTAGGCACAAATTCACTGCTGTGTTGTCAGGAAAAGACATCTTTATTTTTGACTGGTGAGATAGTGCTGTGGAAAATTTCTGTTGATTGCTAAAATGTTCTTGTATTCAGTATGATGGATCAACACCATATAGTTCAAACATAAAATAAACTATTTTGTTGTGTTATCATCCCCACAAAAGTATCTGCTGTCTAGCTTTTCTCAAACTTGTGTAATGACCTTAACTGTGTGCGTCTTCATGGATCACATTTACTGTAATTTTCTTGATCTAATGAAGTATGATGGTACAAAAAAGAACCTAAAATATTGCCAATTGTTTTTTTTCCCCTAGAAAGTAGTCTGATTATCCGTTGTACAAATTTGGGACATCCTCCCGGACAGTCAGCAATTTGGACATGAGCTGAGGGTTGGGATCGGGAGGGGTGTAGGACAGGGAGGGTAGGAGGGCGGTCGAAGAGGAGAGTCTTGAGATGTACCTTTAAGGAGGGAAGTGCGGAAGCAAGGCAAAGGACTGTGGAATGGAGTTCCAAATGGTGAGGGCAGAGAAACTGAAGGCCCGCCTGCTCATGGTGGAGAAGGCCGAACTGGTGACGTGAAGAGAGCTGAGCGGAGGGAGCGTACAGGTTGATATGGCATTATCAGGTGACAGAGGTAGGAAGGAGCAAGGCTGTGGAGGGCTCTGAAGGCGAGGTTTTGCTTCCTTTCATTTTCGATTGTGCAGTTTCAGCTCTAATATCAGTAGCTGGGGCATTATAATAAACCTGTCACCACCAGCTGTTCGGAAAGCACTAGTAGTGCAGAATACATTGATAAATTTCCTTTGGAGATTAAATAGCTGATTGCTGAGCTCGTCACCCCTTGCAGCCTTTCCATTAGAAATGGCAGCGTTGTTAATGGATTATTACTAGCATATTAAAGTATGAAATTGACCTAATTTTTTGAGTCGATGAGAATCTTTTTGCATGATTAATATGGTTCTTTTACAGCTTGGGGATGGGTGGAAGTGACTTATCTGGTTGTGAAGCACAATTTCCTGTCAAACGTTCAAATGTATTGTTATCCATTTTTTTAAAGAATGTGGCTTGGTAAAACAGCCTAACCTCATGTGGTGACAAGGCAGATGTACTGTGACCTCGTAAATGTGGAAATATAACCCTCTTGCTTTCATTGTTGAGTGCTTATGCACTAGTTCAGTCATCAATGCAGTATCCTATATTTGGAATGCTGTATTACTGGATTTATTTCACATCTGCAAATGACTCATAATTAATTTACAGGATTTCTTCCAAATCATCCTTAATTCATAGGCTTACTCTCATAGTCTGCCATGACGATTTTGTAATGAATGTTCCGCTGTTTTCTTTTCACTTGAATAATCCCTCGTAAATTCTGGATCCAGATCTAGAAGTTCTCAGGTTTGACCTCTGATTGAGTTGGCTAATCTCAGCCAGGGACATAATATCATTGTTATAATAATAATAATAATAATAATCCTTGCATTTGATAAAGCGCTTTTCACGTCGGGAGGACGTCCCAAAGCGCTTCACAGAACACACTGTAAAGTGAATTGACTGTATATTTGTGGGCGAACGCGGCAGCCAATTGCGCACAGCAATGTCCCACAAACAGTCATGGATTGAAAATGACCAATTTATTATTGTTTTTGGTTTTGGAGGGATTATTATTAGGCTCTGTGTGGAGTAAGGAAACTTGCCCAAGGTTTCGCCCTGACCTGCCTGGAATTGAACTCAGGTCTCTCACTTGCAAAGCGAGTGCTCTAACCACTGAGCTACAGGACTCCACAATAGCCTTTTATTATGATAGCCTTTGGGCAAAGGAAGAGAGGATGAAATCAGCTAAGTTTCCCCACACATGATTGTGTGACATAAGAGTAAGGCACCAAAAGTTATTTGATGTTTGTTTGTTTCACCACTGTTCATATTTCATAGTTTGTGTGTACCAGCTCCTCTGTGGGTAATACTCTCACCTCTGAGAACCACATTGGGATTTGAACTTCCATAGTCTAGTCTGACACCCCAATGCACTGCTGGGGATGCTCCGCATTGGTGAAGAAGTAATTTTCGGATGAAATATTAAACTGAGGTATCGGCTGCCTGTTCAGGTGGATGTTAAAGATCCCATGGCACGATTCGAAAACAGCAGGTAGTTTCTCCCAGTGTCCTGGCCAACAACAACAAATCACATTTGTCCTTAAAAACTTTCAACTTGTCCTTAAAAATCTCTCCCATCCAACATGCCCCGGTTCTGATGAAGGGTGGTGGACCCGAAACAGTCTCCCAAATAAGTTGGTCATGGCTGTTTTGTGGGGGCAAAGCTGAATGCAATTTAGCTGTTGCATTTGCCTACAAATTATAATTAATACACTTTGCAGTGTATGCTGTGAAACATTTTGTAACATCCTCCTGACATGAAAGGCCCAATACCAAATGCAAGGATTATTAAACCAAATACAATGTTGATTAGTTTTAAGAGTATCATTGTTCTTTCATTGAAGGTTTTATGAATTTTATCAATGTTAAAAGTAGAATTTTACTGTACTCTTAAGTAACCATTCAAAAATCTTACCATGACTAATAGTTATTAGAAATGCACAGTACACTGCACATATTGTGCCACTTTTACTGTTTTCTGCCTCATTAATTTTAGTGGGACAATTCACAACTAATTCTAAAGAACCTTGAAACAAAAACCAAATTAAATGTGGTTTAGAACTGAGCTTTTTTTTTACTCTCCCTCTCCACCTCCCTCAGAAAACAGTTTAAAACCTATTTTAGTAAAATTAAAATCTAATCCCTTAGAAGTTCTGTGGTGACCACCTACGAATATGTAGAGGGCTGTTACTCAGTGGAGCCCAAATTATAAGAAGCTCTATCTCTGCCTTCACCCTTGCCTCCAGGACCACTGCTGTCCTGACAGAATGTTTGTCAGACATCAAATCCTATGAGACCTAACTTTCTACAGTTGGACGTCAACAAGACCGAGGCTCTCCTGATTGGTTCCCATCAGGGCCTCCACTCCTCAGTCACTGACAGGATCACCATCCAAAGGTGCATATTCTTACAAATCAGTCCAGAACCTTGGCGTCTTGTTTGGCTCAAGTATCCTTCTTACCCCATATCCATGCCATGTCCCACTCTACCTTCCCCCACCTCCTCAACATCGCTCAGCTCTGCCACTGTCTCACGACACAAGCTGAAACCCTTATACTCACATTCATAATATCCAAGCTCAACTACACAAACTCACTGCTTGTCGGCCTCTGCAACCCCTCCCTCCTTAGGCTGCAGATCATCCAGAACTCTGCATTCTGTGTCCTCTCCTGCACCAGACTCTGTGACCCTATCACCCCCATCCTCTCCAGACTCCACTGGCTCCCCATCACACAGAGGAAACAGTTCAAGATCCTGGTCCTCACCTTCAAAGCCCTCCATGACCTGTCTCCTCCCTACTTCTGTGAACTCCTAACACCCTATCAACCTGCCCGCTCCCTCCACTCAGCGTGTTCCGGCCTGCTTCACATCCCCACCTTGCCAGCCCCACCATTGGCGGGTGAGCCTTCAGCCTCTCTACCCCCACCCTCTGGAATTCCATCCCACAGTACCTCCACCTCGCCCCCACCGGTCTCAAGACCCTCCTCTTCGACCGTGCCTCGGTCACCCCCCTACCCTCCCCACCCTCCGCCTTTCCTGATCCCAACCACCAGCTTGAGTGAGGTTCCTTGACTGTCCAGCACCTTTGGACATCCTCCCGATGTGAAAGGTGCTATACAAATGTAATTTCTTCTTGTTGTTGACCACAGAGTGAAATATGCAGAAGAATTAGTATGACTAATTTTGCCTCGGGCACACATTCAGTGAAGACTAGAAAACTGAGGAACTAGTTTCAAAATTCCCAGGAGAGAATTATTCAGCTTGTGCTTACTGCTGCTCATCTATGGGTGATGGTACAGAAAAAATGAAGCTATGTAGTGTGATAAACTACTTCAGTGTGACCTATTGTACTGAATGCCGCATAGCCATCATTTGCAACTATTCCTTGTGGTCTTTGAAGATAAGGAATTGAAAGAATCAAAAGGAAATCAACAAAGTATGTCCATGTCAAATTCTAAATATCTAGAATTGAGAATTAAAACAATAGCAACCAATTTTTTAATGACATTCATTCAAAGAACGTTTAATAGTCATCTGCAAAAGCTGCACTGAACTTTTAAATGGTGTATCCTGTGCTTTGATCTTGCATGATTAAGCTAAGTTTATTTTGTTTGATGTCTTCTGGTTGAATTTCCTGAATATTGTGCTTTCTACCCAATCTTAATTAGGGCACTGCAGATATTTTGGTCTAGTGTATCAAATTAGAGTTGCATTTGGCTGACTTTTTGGGGGGGACCGT